TTTTGGGGTGGGTTTTTTTTTGCCACATTCCTTCACTGGATTTTTTTCTTTAGGGGAGAAAGTGGGAAAGAGCAGCTGAATTTGCAAGGGGGCAAGCTACCACTTCTACAGAGGTCAGCATTTGTAAAGAAGAAAAATGGTTTGCAATATGTTGTTTTCATCTTTTGCTCTATTGTTGGCTTTTTTTTTTTCTTTTTTTTTTGCAAAGCCAACACCACGAGGAAAATCAGGGTTAATTAAAGAAGGAAACGAGCAGCACAGCAGCTTGTACATCCAGGGGACCCCAAAGGCTCTTCCCTCCATCAGACATCGAGTCTTTCTGATCTCTTAGTTTCAGAAGCTATTTCCAGCAGACAAGAACTGACCTTCCCCTGGTAAAATGCCACGGGGTATAAATAGAGGAGCCTCTCATGCCATTTGTCATGGAGACTTCTCCGTCTGCTCCGAGCACACTGGAAAACAGGACACTGTTCTCACGATGCTCACAGCACTAATTAGCCTGGAGTCAAAGTATTTCTTCTCGTCTCTAATACTATTTCTGAAAAATATAAAAAAAAAAAAAAAAAATCACAGATCAAACCCAAAGCAGAACTGGGTCAAGAATGCAGCCTTCCCATCTCCCTCCTGACCGAGCCAAGATACTCACCACGGCTCTCTGTGGCATCCCAACATTTCCCTTTAAGTTTTGGGGATGCCAGCTCTGTATCAGTTAAGTGCAAGACGATCCTACTGGCACAAAGTAACATCTCTTGGGGAAAAATGTGCACAAAACCTCCTCTGCTGGGGTTTATGTAGTGTATTATATTGAATTTCCAGCTTATGCTTCCCTAAGTCATCAGGCCTCGTTCTCCCTTGCAGGTCTTCTGAACACCTTTAGTTCACAAGCAAATTTAAGGGATGAGAGCCTTTCCTACTCCACTGAAATGAGGGAATTGTCCTCTCTGGGTTAGAAGTTCTCACCTTCCCCCTGTTCCCTGGCTGATGCAGTGAGAGCTTCTGCACACTTGTACCTCATTGTAGCTCCTGGTTTGTGCTCAGCCACTGTACACTGAAAAACCCACGAGATCACATCCTTGCGCATCCATTTGACTGCTTAAATTATGGAAGAACATGCCAAAATTGAGCAGCGTGGCCCTAGAGCAGCGACACGCATCAGGGGGGCTGGAACCGGACACGGTGTTGGGGTTTGTGTGCTGTAGATTAAAACCGAAATGATCCCAAAGAAGGAAAAAAACCAAAAGCCAGGTGTAAACCAGACAGGATGGCCATGCCAGCATCCCACATTATCCCAGAAGAAAGTAACTCTTTTCCCCCCACAACTTAACACCAATCAAGAGACACATTTCGCTTGCAGGCAGAACCTGGCTGCTGTAGTGTAGCTTGGTTTTATTTATGTCCACAAATATTTCAAAAAAATTACAAAATACTCAAATGGAGAGAACACAGAAGTCACGATTTTCTGGGTTTCTACTCTGTTTACACTGTGTTATCCCATGGCAAACTACTCATATATACATTAAGCTTCAAGATATATATAAATGTAGCAGTCAGAATGTACACTCTGCTTTAACGGTGCAGTGAAACAAGCTCAACCATGACGACATAGAACGAGAGAGAGACGTTTCAAAAACACTAAAGCAAAGTCTGAAAAATAAAACAAACAAACAAACAAAAAAAAAAAAGAAAGGAAAGAGAGAGATTTCTTGAAAGAAAAATCAGAAAGGTCTGGGTTGTTTTTTAACAGGGCATCGAACACCGAGATGGCTTCAGAAAGCCACTGCATGTAAAGTTGTAGTTAATCATTGGGCTGATGTGGAAGAATTTCAGTGCTTATTTGCTGAATGATGTGAACAAAAGAACTCCCATAAATTATTAGAATGCTTTTCTGTGGAAAAAAAAAAAACCAAGAACAACCAAAACACAATACATTTGAGCAGACTGCCAACTTCAGCTGAAAAAGTAAGGAATACAGAGAGAGGACCATTGGAGGCAATTACGTTTTTCTTAAGAACTATGGCTAAAAATCAGCAAAGAGAAGGGTCAGAAGAAATGGCTGAAGTGGCTGAACTCCCCCAAACTCCCGAATTCCACATGGTATAAAAAAAAACAAAAAGGAGGGCAGAGTTTTAACTGAAATGTGCCTAATCAGACCTGTAAAGCAAACTGAGGCACTCGCTGCCGAGCAGACCCTTCTTTCTGGGCGCTCAGCTCTGAGCAAAAGTAAAACAAACTGTGCTCAGAAGGAAAACATTTCACCTGATCACTGCCCACAGCAACTGAAGACTTCACCTTCCTTGATTCTGCGCCGACCTCGTGGTTTGCCAACCTCAGGAACACCAACTGTTCCTCCTCAGACCTCCACACAGACTTCAAACAGAGCAGCTGGAACGGGTTAAATGCTACTGCAGTTCTGTAGCACTGAGAAATCTGGCATGGAGGGCAGAGAAAGGAGATCAGCATTAGCTGAAATATCCTCCTCACTCTTGCCTTAAGTGAGCCTGCAACAGATGCATAATTTCTAATTTGAATTGCTGTCACTGGCTGTCCAACACCAACCTCTGGGCAGGTTTGAGGTGCAGGAGGTGAGCGAACACTGTGCCTGCCACACCTTCCACCAGAACAACTGATTAACTACAAGTTTATCACAGGTGGCTCGGAACAGTCCTAGGACATAACCATCACACTGAACAGGCTACAACAGCAGAGAGAGAGCACTCATGAGTTAAGAGAGAGAATGGGGGGGGGGGGGGAAGTTGTGCACCAGCAGAAAAAAAAAATGACCAGCATGTTCAGATGTCCATTGGTCACGTCACCACCCTCTGCTCTGGCAAAGTGGCAAAATGGGGAAAAAATTGTTTAAAAAAAAATCTGCCCAGTAAGCAGAGCTGTCTCCAGAATAATGCTCACTGGCCTTCTGTGTGTTCCTCTCCTCTCACCATCCTCAGTAGCCAACAGGAGTTATCCTACATGGATCAGCTGGGAGCCAGTAAATGTTACTGTACATAATCAGGTTAATCCCAAAGCAGTAAAAGTTCCTGAGATGCAGAACACGGGTGGCAGTTAAAAAAGCTTTTGCTTATAAAAACAAAACTCAAACAGTCAAAGAGAAAAAAACAGACTGGTGGTGTTTGCAAAACGACTTTGAGGACACCAAGTTGCCTCAGTCCACTTTTCTTGAGAACTTCTCAAACAGGAGGCCAAGAAAAAAAGCACATCCTCCAAAAATATGCACGTGCAGACAAAATTCTGGCTGGACTGCTCTGAGCCATGGAACATTTCCAGAAAGAGACCTTTAGAACAGGTTATTTCTTTGAACTTTTTGCCCAAAGTCTAAACCCAATGTCCTTTTAGGCTGAAGTTCCAAAAGGTTCTGAAGAAGTGCTTTTGTGGCCACACTGAAAATGAGAAAGCGCCGAGGGAGGAATCAAAAGGGTCAGGCTGGTTCCAAGGGACATCTGTGCTGCTGAGAAACCCAACTCAACAGAAATCATCTGCAGAACAGAGAGAGATGGAACACGAACAAAAAAAAAAAAAAAAAAAAAAAAAAAAAAAAAAAAAAAAAAAAAAAAAAAAAAAAAAAAAAAAAAAAAAAAAAAAAAAAAACAACCAAACAACCAAACCAACCGAAAAAAACCCCAAGAACAGAAACAGTCGTTTGCAACATTATCCCTGCAAATCCCTTTAATGCTTATTGTTGATATCAAACCAAATGTCAAGCTTTTACCCATTTGAAATTATTGATACCCATCACTCCCTTTAATTAAAGGGATAATTATATATATATATTTTATTAAAAAATCAACTCTGTATTCTGTCAATACCAGGTAGGAATTCACAATTTGTGATGTTACTGAAAATCAAGATAAACGTTTCTGGAGTTCTGTTTTGTTTTGTTTCTCCCCTCTACCCAAAAAAAGTTAATATTTACAGACTTAAAAAGCCATGCTGCAGAACTGAGCTCTCTTTAAAATTATGAAGATTTCCTACAATGTATTAAAATAAAAGTAGATTTTTTTTTATTATTATAGCACTTGGATTCAGAGCTTGTTATGTCACCTACTTGCAATCCTTGTTTTTTTCTTAAATAGCTATAGATGCATTGAGTGTCTCTTCACGCACAGTGACTTGTGTTGTGAACCTGATTCTAGCACCTACTGAAAACAAACTAGTAAGAAAAGAAAAAGAAAAACAAAGGAAAAAAAAAGAAAAAAAAACAAGATTGCAGGAAGTTCTCTGAATATTCCACACAGTCCTGTATTTCCAATAGGCTTCTGAATACGTTGTCATGCAGGGAGACCCACACCAGTCTTGAGAAATCTTCTCTACAAATGAACACTATGCTGATAAGTCTCTACTTGTTGGGTGGTTGCTTCTGTTTTAAATATATAAAGAAATCTTTATAAGATATTCTTTTCCTTTTTGTAGCTCTTCTCGTATGTAAAAATGTTCCACTCCTTCCCAAGGACTGGGGTTTCCACAGCCAGCGTTACAAATAAATAATTTATTACAACTGTTTGTCGCCTTCTTTCTTCAGTCGACTGCAAGAGAAAGAAAAACTCCGTTTAACACCGAGAAGGAAGGGGGTGTCAGACACTTCAGAGCCACCTCTGCCTTCCTGTCACCTCTCCCAGGTGCCCTGAAGGGAACAGAGGGTACGGGTTTTGAGCTCGGAGCCCAAAGCTGAGTGTGCTGTCCCAGCAGTGATAACTCTGTGTGTGCAGGGGGGAGCGATGACCTTCTGCCCCCCCAAACTACCCCTGACATGTGAGCACCAGCCCCAGTGCCAGCCCATCAACTCCAGCCCTATCTGCAGTCCCAGATGGGACAGACTGGCTGTCTCTGTGGCACGAGGTCAGCAGGAGCAAGGAGGGAAACATCAGAGTGAAGCGGTGCAGGGCAGGAGCTGAATATGCTGCTTCCTGGATATCCTGGCTACCCACAAGCACATGGAATGATCCCTGTGAGGTGCTGGTGGCTTTTTCTCCTCAGCTGATGCTGTCAGTGGTCACTGCCAAAGAGGAACTAAGGTGGTACCACACAGAACCACTCCACCATCAGCACTGCAGAGCATTCAGGGGAGGAACAACTCCCAGGATTCATCCAGGCATTCTCAGCTGGCAATGCAGGATCTGTATCATTCACACACTTCAACTTCCTGGTGGCCTCAATTTCCCATGATTTACTGAATCCCTCCCCTCGTCTTCCCAAAGCTTTGCCCAACTTCCACTGATTTCAAGGAAGAGAAAGAGATGTAGAATCAGCCATCTCAGCAGCAGACTAAAAGCCCCAATCAGAGGGAACTCTGCAGTGTAACACTGAGCTAGTCTAATGCTGTTCCAGTCATTTGGACCCTGCTTCCAACCTGCCCCAATCAGGTCCTAGCAAAGCTTCACCTGTAACTGCACCAGGACGGTGACTCAGCTCACAGCAAGAAAGGCAGAAATTCAGATTAAAAAAAAAAAAAAAAAAAGACGAAACATAAAGAAATACAAAGGCATCTCCCATGTTCCCACAGCGTGGGATCACCTCTCACCTGTAGTAATCTTCCTGACTCGGTAGATGCCCACCATGCATGTGAGGGTGCCCGTGCAACCACTGCTGCTCCATTGCCAGTCTTTGCAGCTCTGCGGACTGGGCGTGCATGGCCTGCAGCTGGTGGGCTGCTGACATGGGAGGTGGGATGGCACCGGGCAGATCCCGTGGGTAAGGAGTACCTAAGAGAGACAGGGCCCATTTTAGAGACACTTCAAACCAACAGAACCGACCAACCAACCTGTTAACGGCTCCAACCCCCACCCCTCCTGCCAAAAAACACATCTCACATCAAGGCCTTAAACATCAAAACCATAAAATGCTCTCACCAAAGACTGGATGTCGGAGCATTTCATGCTCGTGAGGTGGCTGCCCTAGCAATGGGTTGGGGATGGTCCCAGGTGGGTAGGGAAAACGTGCCAAATGGGGTCCAGCTGCTAAAGGATCCACCAGCGGGTGAACAGGTCCTGCTGAGCCTTGGAAAGAAGGAAAGAAAGCATCAAATCAGCTGCCTTGGGATTGCAGAGGAACTGCAAGGGAAAGGAATAACACAGTTAACACAATTCTCCCTCAGCTGGTACCTGGTCCAGAGCAGAAATTTGGGGTCATTTTGCCCTCTTATTCATCTCCAATCTAAGGAGACACATGGATTGTAACAGCCTTGACCACTGCTCTGGAGCAAAGAACTGATTTGAGACATTCAGCTGTTATTTTAGGAGCCCCTCACTGTATTTGAACCTGCCATCCAATATTAAAACCAAATTACCTTTCAAATACGCTCAAGAGAGATGTGGCAATGGACTGACTGTCTGTACCGGTCTCTCACTACACTGAGAGGCAGAATGCACAAACCATATTTCTCTCCAGCTGGGGAGTGTCAGACTTACCTGCAGAGGTGCTGAGGGACTGACTTACCTGACAACAGAACCCTGGTACAGACATGATCTGTGGCAAATCCCTGCTGCTATCTGGGGTGTGCAAACCTGCCTCCAACTGAGCCAGCCTCTGCTTTCTGCACCACTCTCAGGCCACGGTCACAAACAACAGCTTTAGGAGTGCTGACGCTCAGCACTATCACTTCCTACATGTAACCCCACCCCCCAACCCTTCACAATCTCACAACACCCTGCTGACTTCCTTGCTGGACAATCTGGATTCTGCAGCAGCACTCAGATTCCCTCCAAACTCCCCAAAGCAGCTATCCCAGCACATCTGATGCATGATGCTCCAAGGCAAAGTCTGCTGCATTTGCCTGCATAAACACTGCACTGGTAACCAGATGCACCAGAACCTGCACTGTGAATACTTGGATTTTTTTTTTTTCCCCCCTTTCTTGGAAGCTACTGCACCTGGTCTGCCACCTAAAATATCTGGAAAATTCTGCTTAGTGCCTCATCTTCAGGACTCCAGACCTCTAGAGGGGTTGCTTTAGAAATGAGCAAGGCATCAATTAATTTTTGACGCTATTAAACATTTCTGGAAAAAAATTTCCAGACTCCAGAATACACCCTAAATAAAAATAATGCCACTGCACAATTTTAGATGATTCTGGTGAGAATTGTGACAGAGGATTTCAGCTCAACTAAAGCCAGATGGTTAGCATGTTCAGTGGCTGAAGAGATGAAATTTTTCTCCAATTTGTTTTGTCAGTTCCTATATGGAAACACCATCTCCAGTTATACCTCCTGACATAACAGCCACGAGCATCAGCAGTGTCACCAGTTCCATGACACCTCTCCTAGGGAATTCCCTGCCCCTGTGCACCAGACACCACTGTAAGGTGCTGCCCTAGGATACCTCTATTTTAAAAAAAACCAAACCACAAAGCAGCAAACCTGTCCCAGTGACAGTGTGGAGTCTCAGTGAGCATCACTGTGGTGTTACCATCCTGTTTCACTGTCACTGGTTCACTCTCACAGAAATTACCTGCATTTCAGTTCTTACAACCTTACACATTTCACAATCACAGCATGGACAAGAGGGCACAGCCTTAAGCTGTGCCAGGGGAGGTTTAGGTTGGACATCAGGAAGAAATTCTTTACAGAGAGAGAGGTCAGACACTGGAATGGGCTGCCCAGGGAGGTGGTGGAGTCCCTGTCCCTGGGGATGTTTAAGGAGAGACTGGATGTGGTATCAGTCTCTTGTCTAGTAGGCAAGGTGGTGTTGGGTCAGAGGTTGGACCTGATAAACTCAGAGGTCTTTTCCGACCTCGTAGATTCTGTGATTCTGTGAAAACAGGGATTTTGCCACCGGAACCCCGGGGTCCCAGCCTGCCTGCTCTGGGCAGACTGACGCTAACAGCTCACTGGAGGGAGAACTGCCCAATTCCCTGGGCTCACCTTGGTGCAGGGGATCCTGCTGGTGTAGGTGTAGATGCGAGTGTATGTGTGAGTGCTGGTGGTGGTGGGGCGTGACGTTGAACATCTGGAGCCGCGCCAGGGGGTCATTGGTGAGCGATGCCATGCGCTCGGCGTGGATCCGCTCGGCCGCCAGCCTGTCGGGGTAGCTCATCTCCGGCCGCAGCTGCGGCCCCGCCAGCGCCAGTCTCTCCCTCTCCAGGGGGTTCAAACCCGGGTGGAAGGAGGCGAAGGGGTGAGGCCCTGCCGTGGGTGGAATAGTCAGTGCGCCGTGCCTGGCAAAATGCTCCATGGGGTTGGTGGCCGGGTGCAGCGCGTCCAGCTCCGGGGGCTTCACCTCGAAGCCGGGCTTCATCCTCTCCCTCAACTCCCGCTCCCGGATCTCCCGCTCCCGGATCTCCCGCTCCCGCAGCTCCCGCTCCCGAATGGTGGGGTCCACGTTGTAGAGGCCGGGCATGTGGTAGGCCAGGAGCGGGTCGGTGGGGTTGAGGGGCACGAAGAAGGGGTGGTTGCGGTTGGTGGGCGACATGACGTGAGGCCGCGCGTACTCGCTCAGTGTCCGTAACGCGGGCGTGTCCGGCCCGATGTAGGGGGGAACGGCGGCAATGGTGGTCGGGGGAGGTTCAAATGAAGGTCTCATGTGTGCTGGCCCGCTGAGCTGGGACTCGCCGAGGCGGCCCTCGTGGGAGGAGCTGGATACCTTCTGCTGCACAGAACGGGGTGGGGGGAGAGAAGTTTAGTCCAACACACTCTGCTCAGAGCACTGCAGGTGCACAACTCCCCCCTTTGCCTCAAGCAGCCAAGTTCAGGCTTTGGCTCTTTACACCAACACTGGAGTTTGGATCTCCTCGTAAAGGAAGTTAATTAAGTTCACTTCAACTTACAAGAAGCCTTCAGATGCCTTTTTTTCCCAGCAGACAGCTCCCATGTGCCTGCACAGTAGTGCAAGGGACACAAAGACATTTATTGTATCTGCACAGTGTTTTCCTACCGCAAGTAAATGTCAACACTTGGCTTCGCTCTCCCCAGCTGCTCTGGCTCCCCTCACACCAGACACAGAGCAGGAGCAGAAGCTCTCCATTTCCTTTAAGGAGAAGACTGGGCTGGATACACAGAGCTCCACATTCAGGAACAGCCGACTGCACAGGCATTAAAGTGCTCCTGGGATGTGCATTCTGCAGTGACCACCCAGGTCAGACCCAACCACCCACTCCCTCCCACAGCTCTGAGCCCCAACCGAACCTACCGCAGCTCTTTCCGCCTCTCGTTCCCGCTCCCGCTCCCTCTCTCTTTCCTTCTCCTTCTCTTTCTCTCTTTCCCGCTCCTCTCTGGCTTTCTGCTCCGCTTCCCTTTTGGCCTTTTCAATGGCCTCTTCTCTCTTCTTGGCCAGTTTTGATCCTGCCAGGGGCATGAAGTACAGGTCTGCCCTCGAGCATGAATTGTAGCCACGGTCCAGGTGTTTATAGAACCTGAAAGAAGCACAAGAGAAGAAGCTTATCCCTGGGAAAGGTGCAGGAGCGTGGGATTTGAGAGCTGTACGTCAAAAATAAAACTATCACATTACACTTACACAAAGCACTAGCAGCTTCCTTGAAAGCCAGGAGAAAATTAATTGAACCCCATTACTCCACAGACCATGGAGTTTTGTAAAAACCAGAACATAATCAGTGCTTAACTGATGAAACCTCCATACCTGGCTGACTGACTGGCGTGACTTGGGATATCCACCACAGTGGGCTCTGGTGATGGACTCCTGGGTGGAGGGGGAGGGCTTTCTGGTTCCTCAGCTTCATCTGGGACCTCCTCTTTGATCTGGATGGGTGGCAGCGTGCAGGCTGTCACCACGGGCACTGTCCCACTAGAGGCTGCTGACGTGGAGATGGAAGTCTGGAGCGGGATGCCAGGCATGGCGGGTGGCGTGGAGGTGGAGGGGCACGAAGGAGGGGTGATGGAAGCTGGGCCCCCCGGGACAAAGGGATGCTGAGAAAAGGGGGGCTGGGAGGATACCTGATGGAGTCCAGAGGAGGGGTGACTAGCAGGAGGGGGAAGGCTCTGGCTCTGGGTCAGAACAGGAGGCTGGGCTTGCGAGGACTGCAGTGGTTGGCTCTGAGGCATCAGCTGCAGAGGGGGAGGGTGTGCAGACGGCGGGTGGTGAGTCGAGAGGGAGCTCAGAGGTTTTAAAGCGGGTGGTGGAGGCAAGTTGGAGTTCATGGAGAACGGAGATGGGCCAGAGAGGTGAGGAGGGTGCTTGTGGGATGGAGCAGTGGGGAGCTGAGGGATGGGGGTGGTAGGGGGAGGTTTGATGTGAGGCATGGCCATGGGGGCAGGGGGCAGGGGCTGCTCCCGCGGGGGCTGCGCCTGCTGCAGCGAGGTGGCCGTGGGCAGGACGGGCTGTGTCACCTGCAGAGCCGAGTGGGAATGAGAGGGGGCTTGTGTCTGGAGGGGAACCTGAGACTGAGATGACTGAGCAGGCAGGGAAAATGGCTGGGAAGGTACGGGATGGGGCAGGAGGGGCTGTGCCTGCAGGCTGTGAGGGGCAGGCTGGGCCTGGCTGTGGAGCGGGGGCTGCGTGTGGGGCTGTGAGGAGGCAGGGCTGGGCTGGCTCTGCGACACACTCAGGGGCTGCAGGGGAGGGTGGGGGGACGGGAGCCTCTGCGGGTGCAGAGCAGGGGCCTGCTGGATGTGGGAGTGAGGAGGAGGTGGGGCAGGGGCCTGGGGCTGGCTGGAGGGCTGGGATGCTGGCGGGGACACTTGCGGTGGGGCCGGGGCAGCGCTGGACACGGCGGGCAGCGACGCTGGTAACTGGGCTGGTACGGGTGGTGTGGCTGGAGGAGCCTGGCCAGAGCTGCTCTGTGCCTGCAGCACCTGGGGCTGCGCCTGCAGCACTTGCTGCTGGGCGGAGGAATCCGAGTCGCTCTCATTGTCCTGAGGGCTGGGGATGCTGGGCGAGGTGCTCCGGTTGTCCTGGTCGATGTCCTTGGGATCGCTGCTCCCCTCGTCGTTGACGCTGCGGCTGTCGGAGCTCTCGCCCTCGCCCTCACCCTCCGAGGGGGAGTTGGGCCTGCTGATCTCCTGCAGGGAGAGGGGAACAGTAACCACCGCACCGAGGCCAACCCCAGTGTGCCACAGGATGGCACCTGTCACACAAGTGCATGAATATCCAAGGGGATATTCCTGTTGACAGCTCCTTTTAGTAGTGCCCAGTGGCAATGAATGCACTGAAAGGCAGCAGGTTCTCCCTGAACACAAGGGAAACAGTTTTTCACTGGGAGGGTGACCAGCAATGGAAAAGATCTGCCCTGTGAGGCTGTGAATTCTCCACCTTTGGAGACAGTCAAAAGCCACCTGGATATATGCCCTGGGCAGTCAGCTCTAGGTGGCCCTGCTGGAGCAGAGGAGGTGGCCTAGATGACCTCCAGACTCCTTCCAACCTCAGTCATTCTGGGATTCTCTAATATGGAAAGCTCAAGTCCAGAATCCCCAGATCCTATGCACAGAGTGAACCTGGTCAGATACACAGAGACATCCTGAAAGTATTTCCACTGAACTTTGATACCACTGAATTAAGAGAACTCCAGTGGTATTCCACAGAACAGGAAAAAACAAATTTAAATAAAAAAAATTAGGGGCAGAGGGGGTGGAAAATAGTCCAAGTGTACTTCTATATGGTTGATATTGATATTAAAAAAAAGCAAAGAACAACTTCTGGATTTACCCTGTATCATTCCACTGTTTCCAACAGAAGGAACACATTATAATATTGGTTGCTTTCCAGCCCCAGATTAAGTTACAATTTGCTGTGGCTTAAATTGATTTCATGTTTTTGGTTTGTTACCAGGTTTGCAATCCCCCTACCCTCTCAAAGCATTCTCCTAAGAGGAAATATTCCTCTGGGGGACTCACTTGAGTTTTGGATTTTTTGGCATTGGACCTGTCAGGTTCCTCTGTGTCCGATGTTGCCTTTTCCCGCTGCCTCTTGGAGTTCTTGAGAGGAGAAGACACCTCTTCTTTTATCTTCTGCCACAAGGGAAGCAGAACACAGCAGTTACCAGTGGTGTAAATGCAAGAGTAAATTGAGTGTATGCCTGTGATACCATATTTAACACAAATAAAGGAGAAGGGTTCCTACGGAGCAGGAGAAGCTGAGACAGTATTTAACAACAACCCAACAGGCATCAAGCTAACAGGAAAAATGTGTGAATAAAACATTCCTCTTATCAAGGGGTACTTTAAACAGAGCTGTGCAGGACCAAATCCACCAGGAACTCACGCCAGATGAACTGGCCCAGGTTACCCTTCTAGCAGAGACCAACACCAGCTGTTAACAGAGGATGGAACAAGAACCTTTGCAGGAGACAGGCACGAGATAAGCCTCATTAAAGTCCTGCTTTACTCCTGATATTTTGAGAGGAGTATTTTTAGATCCCCTCAAATACAGGGCTAGCAGTGAATAGCTATTATAAGACTACTACCTTCTTTGATGGCCTGGGACAGCTTTATACATCACATAATTACCTAACCCAACTAACTTCCAATTCTGCCAAGTTTTCAGTTTTATAATGTGAAAACTTGCTCCATACTCCAGTTCTGACTTCTATTTTTTTTAAATTTATTTTTGACTTGCTACTTTTTTGCTTAATGGCAAGCCTTGCTGCTTCTTGTGGCTTTGTTTCTTTAGAACTCTCTTGGAAACACACTTTATTCATTGAAACAGACTCAACTGTCAGCTCTGCTCTGAAAAATCAAACAAATACACCTCCAGAAAAACAGTAACAGAAGTAGCCTCAATTACCACATATTCAAATTCCCTTGTAAACAAAGACTAAGCACTGCTTAAAAAAAAAAAAAATCCCCCAAACTGTCTGCTTGTCTCAAATACAGCATTTCTGAGCTGCATTACTTCCCTGAGCTTAATGCCTGCATTTGCATCTGAAATGGGAGGATTAATTTATCGTGAGAGCAGCAAGGTTATGTGGGGCTACTTCAGTGGTCTGATCAGCACCCAGCCCTCTGTGCACAGGAACTGAGCAGCAGTTTACAGCTGCACCGGGGGACACTCTCTGCTCATCCACACAGGCACGAATTTCTGGGTCAGGGAGGAAGATTCTCCAGCCTCCTGCAAGCTCGTGTGCCTGACTGAGAGGCCTCAGGTGTGCTGTCCTCACACAAGAGGCAGGGGAAAGGTTACCTTGGTGGATTTTTTCACGGAGTCTGCCTTGCTGTCGTTGCTGGAGGTGCTGGCGGCGCTGGGCGAGTTGCGGCCGCTCGACCTGATGTCCTCGTTGATGGGGGAGGCTCTACCATCGGGGCTGGCTGGCTGCTTCTTCCGACCACTGCGTAGTGTAGACATCTGCGGTTCAACACAAACAAGGGTATCCAAGTCAGCATCTGCCCAGCCTCCTGAATTCCCTCTGCCTTAACAGCAGGGGCGTGGATTGAACGCTCGTGCCAAGAGCTCCACAACCAAAAAGCAGGAGCACTGTTACAACTTCTCCTTGAAAGCTCATCTGGGCTTCAAAGGAGGCAAATCCTTCATTTGTCTACTCAAAACCAGTAAGTGCTGATTATTTAATTTAGCAGTGTCTGTTAGAAATAAGGTTAGAAGGGTGTTTCAATACATGTTTGCAAGTTTGCCTACACATGGGAGTGAACGAGGTAGGAGAAGGACCCCTGTGTTCCATTAAAAACAGTCTACTGGCATTCAAGCAGTCAAGGCCAGGTTCTAAAGCCCCAGTTTGTGGTGCTCCTGTCATGCAAAAAAAGGTCACAGTCAAGTCTATTTCAATAATTAATGCTGTTTCCCTCCCAGTTTGGCAATTTTTTGGGATGACTGGCTACCATAAAAGCAACGAGCCAACATTACCTGAGAGTGGAGCCTCACAAAGAGATTCAGAATCAATGGTCATATCATCAGGATCACAAAGACAGGGAGGGGAGGGTAAGGGAAAGAGATCTATCTGCTGCTTTCCATCAGCCAAATCCAAATCAAAGATCAAATTAGCCAGAGCTGCTGTCAGAGCTCTCCCAAGTGATGTGCTCAAAGGAAGGCTCCCAGCGTTCCACTCTGAGTAACAGCTCGGGGACAGGGCACACCAATCACAGAGGCAACACAGAGCTCTCTGCAGGGAAGAACAGATTTGATCTCCAGTAATATGAGGAGACCACATGAACAGCATCTAATTTTTTAAAACTCTTCCCAAGGGCTTAACTCTGACAGGATCCAGCTGGAAGGAGGACACGTACTAGAACAGAATCTGTAACACACTGTCAAGTGCCCCCTTACGATGCCAGTCCACTGCCAGTCATTACAAACATGGAAATAACTGATCTGAGCTTGCAGAGACATTTCAGCTCCTTTTTCCAAAGAAAGCCTCCACCTCAGCCAAGCCCACCCAGAAATGCAGCAGCAGGCCCAGTCCAAGGGAGATTAGCTCAGCTGGTGCTAAAAATGCCAAGGTCATGGGTCCAATCCACTGTGTGGGCCATTCACTTCTAAGGAGTTGGACCTGATGATCCCTGTGGGTCTCTTCCAACTCAAGATTATTTTGTGTGGAACCAGCAGGATGGAGAAAGGCTCAGTTTTAGGAGTCTGACCCTTCTCCCCCAGAAGATGAGGGTTAAACCTACCGAGCCTCGACTCCGCCGTGTCCTCATGCTATGCTTTCCACTGAGTCCATCATCTTCCTCTTTGACAGGCTTGAACATAAAGGGTGGAGGGTCAACTGGCTTCTCGATGGGTGGCAGCTCCCCGTACTTCTTGAAGTGAATCCGGCAATCCGTGCACAGCAGGATGTTTTCCCGGCCGCCGTGGTGCCAGTCCTTGGAGGCTTGGGGCAAGGAGAGCGACAGCTCAGCAACACACAAAAAGCACCAGGACCCCAGAACAAGCACACTGGGTCACTGTAAAAGCTGCATTTCTAAGGGGTAACAAAGTTGGAGAAGTCTCTGGAGAACTCAGTCCTGTTGCAGTGCACATCCTCAACGTTCAGTTTACAAACTGGTTGTTTGCTTGAGAAACTACAGTTTTGAAACCAAAGAAAGAAGCCTTATCTGCTCTACCTGGGAGCAAACAGGCAGCTGTTGTTCTCCAAAGCTGTGGTTTCTGCAAGAGAAGTGAGCTGTGAACCTCTCATTTCCTTCCCTATTTTGGGGCTCACGTTTCCACGCTGTGCAAATGCCCCAAATATCAACCAACCTTCAGAACACCCCCAGGAACGGGGCTGATGCAGAAGAGATTGGGTGCAGCATAAAGAAGTTTTGTGCGTGACAGTCACAGCCCAATATCGATTCATTACATCACAAACTGATTACACAGGCTGTGGATCGTGGAGGTTTATTCCTGTATAAATATCTACCCCAGGGTTCTCCTTTGTCACTGCAATATTAATTTGCAACGGCAAAGCCTGATTAACTCTGCAAGGAATGCTGCGTGTTTTAGCTGATTCAACCCCCCATTTTTTTCTGAACTGCTGCTGCTTGAATGAACCCACATGAAACAGGCAGTAGAAGGGAAAGCCAGCAGTGAACTGGGACATACTGGTGGTGAAGCAGTGGCGGCAGGCGTAGCCCTTCAGCTCCTGTTCGCTGTCCTCGCTGTCAAAGTCATCTTCACTGGCCGAGCTCAGGTCCACTGAAGAAGTGAAGAACAAGGCAAAAAAAAAAAAAAAATAAAAAAGAGGAAAATGGAAAATAAAACACTCAGCAGGATTTTCTGTTTCCTCTTACTTGGCTGAAATAACCATTAATAAAAATAGCTGGTGACTTCCTACAACCACCCTGTGCCTCGCACGGCCATTACTTCTGATTTTTCAAACTAGGCAAGGCCAGACCTCATCAGCCTCCAGGTTAAGGGAGGATTCCAGGAACGTGCCAAGTGACACAACTCACAGAACACGGTACATTTCCAGATAAATTGTCATTCAAATGTCATTCGTGGCGAGCTGGAGAGGCTGTGTTCCAAAAACACAATTTTCAAGTAGAAAAGAGGTTTCTCTCTAGAACGAGTTCAAATTTAAAACCTGGTATTCTGTACTTAAAACCTACTTTACTGCATTCCACGAACAGACACCGTGGTGGCTTTTTTTGATTTTTATTTTGTTTCTAGGCTTCACCTTCCAGCCCAGCTGAGGACCAATGTCACGCTCTGTTAGGCACTGGCTGTATTTAACCAGGAGCAGATGTGTTTGTGGGTGGAAGAATCAATGCTTACATATAATGGACCTCTCTGGAAAACACGCTGTGATTCTTTCGGAGGGGGAGGTACTAAAGGACACTACCAGCTTCCCAATCCTTGCTCAGGCCTCAGAGAGCTTCAACCCGTGGCAAACTCACATTTCAAAACCAGGTTTCAAAGGACAGGAGGATATGGAAAGGGCCCCTTTCCTTTGTGGCAAGCAGTACACAGCAAATTAGCAGATTACAAGGCTGTGAGCTAAAAAGCAGCATCTAAACCACTGAAAATCTGCAGACACCGCAAAAACTGTATCTTATCTTCTAAACAGCTCAGGAGTAAATCCTTTCTTTCTGAGAGCGCTGCGTTTTTCAAGCACCACCACTAAAAATTCACAACATTGCAGGTCTGTAATTTGTCACGAGCAGAAAGCCCCTCTGGCTTCTTCTGCTTAAATCCTTAATTAGGAGAGAAGTCCTTGATGCAAGAATACTGGTTTTCCAAAGGTTCCAAGAGGATGCTTTGTACATGCAGGTTATATTTATGGATTATGGGTTATGGATTCTGCCATCAGCATTTGTCAGAAACTTGTTACCCTTCAAATTAACACAGGGCCTCCATTTAATAGCTAGCACCACCATAATTCCCACAGTAATTCCTGCAGGTGTTAACCCTGATTGCCAAACTAACCCCAGGCTAGGACCTGTGTTCTTTTACTGAACTGATTTTTATTCTCATCCTGCAGTCGGATCCACATGGACAGGCCCTTCCACCCACAAGCTCTGTGATGTGCCGAGTACCTTGGATTGAGCTGTAGAGTCCAGATCCTCATTTCTTGTGCACACAGAAACCAGCAATAAATCCTATCAATTCAGCAAGGATGAACTAACAGCCCTTTCCCACCACCTCACTACCACCCTCTCCAAATTCTGACAATGGATGTCACCACATCCTCCACCCTCTCCAAATTCTGCCTTCCACACGGTCCCCTTTCTTTACAAGGCACGTGAAATGTGCTGGATTTAGTCCACAGAAAGGCTCTAAACCTCACAGAGTAATTAATACAAAGCCTTTTACATAAAAATAAAAGTTTCTGTCTCCATCGGGATGTTGCTGATCATAACCCTGTGCAACGCAGCACACGCAGCTGGTTTGGGGAACTCCTCTTTGTTTGGACACTTCTGCTCCAGGCAAGGCCAGTGTTCTTCCAAAATACCCCAAGACAGTGCTGGATACAGCACCCACTCAGGTCCAGCAGAAGGTTTGGGTCACCCAGGAAGGACGGAAGGGACTTCCTTTGTGATTCCCAATTCCCACTACTGTAATAATAAGCCTGGATAAAAATACAACACAGCACCAAGAAAAAGAGTAGGGAAATCCAATACCAGGGCAATATTTCCACCCTTACAGGATGCTTTTATGTTCAAGAACTGCACAAAGCACTGGGTGATCAAAGCCGCCTTCCACATTCCAGCATAATGGTGCAGGAACGGGAGAGGGCACCGGCCTGAACTCCATTTCCTTGCTCCTCTGTTCCCTTGAAGGCACAGCACCATTACATTACTGCTGCTGCCTGCATTTAGACAAAGATAAATGCATTGCTTTTAGCTCCCACTTACAGAATTCACTGGAGGGGGGCCTGGAGGGAGTGTTGACTGGAGTGGAAGCAGTTCGAGTTTTAATTCTCCGAAACACAGCCTGCCTCCGATGCCTACGGTGGGCTCGAGAACTTGCTGCTTCAGGGGTTTTCTTCCAATAGTAATAGAAGGTGATTAGTTCTCCCTGCAAACACAGAAGGAGTATGTTAGAGGGACATGCAAATCTGACTTGGCAGCTTCCTCCCTCCCTCGTGCCTCTCTGTGTGCACACATGTATTTTTCTGGGAACGATCACGGCGTGCTTCAGCCAGACAAAAGAATTATTCAGTAAGACAGAAAATAAAAAAAAAAAAAAAAGCCCTCGTTATTTTTGGTTTGCTTTTGCAAGGCAGGAAAAGTAGTAAATGAAGGGGTTTTCACTCCTTGTCTAGGAAAGGGAAGAGGTTGGGAAGCACATATCCAGGCTCCACATGGATGCTGCTGGCACTGCTGGTCCTGGGATTCAGAAGAGGGTGCCCTTGTCTCACTGTCAGCATCCCCTGACACCTCTGCTCTGCTCAGGAGAGGCACAACCTCCCACTGAGCTCTGAGAACAGACAACCTGAACTGCTACAAACCCTCTGCTGCTCACAGAGAGAATAAGGCTCAATCCAAACAGACACTGCCATTTTGTCAAGCTACACTCCACATACAGGTTGTTTTTCAGTATTCCTGTTTAAGAAGCTGAAAAGTCAGAACGAAAACGTGTTCGACAACAAGTCTCTAACCGTAACGCAACCCTACTACAGCAAATCATGTTTTAATTTGAATATATATGCCCACATCTAAATTAATTAGGCAGTTAAAAGAGCACACCTAGAGAAATGAGTGATAATTTCACAGCATAATGAATCTGGCTTACATTCAAAAAGTGCAGCAGCTGCCATTCAAACTGGAGGATGTAATGCTGAACCAAAGAACAGCATGTGGTTTTAATCTCTTTTCTCTTACTTTGAATCCCCATCATTTCCTGGTGACTTCTCTGCCTCTGAGGTAAAAGGTGTTGTTGCTTTCAAGTTATGAGAGGAAAACGGAGAAGTTCTAACCAGCCCCGTGAAAAAAAAAATAAGCATCAGAACAAACATACCTGAATTGCCCACAAAAAGGGTTCCTTTGAACTGTGTTTTTATGTGATCAAATAACCTCAGCCTGCTCCCTCCGTGGGGAAATCCTGCAGCCCTTGCTCAGGGAGTTAACACACGGAGTTAACTCCGACCTGAATCCAAACCTTCCCAAACAAGCAATTACAGCCACAACTAATACCTGTACCCCCGAAATATCCTGAAGACAAAAGGAGGATGTTGTTCTAAACCATATTTAAGACACTCAAGAATTTTATCAGTGCCTACTTTAAAAACAGAAATGCCAGAAAGGAGAACACAACCACAACTGTGATTTCTGGCACCAGGCAGAAATAGGTAAGTTTTAATCTGAGCTGCTACAGATTGGGATGATGCTGCTGATCCTCACCGTGAACCTAAACAATATTTATGTATTATATGTTAAAATAACAGGTATTCAGAGTGGGAACTGGTGAGGAAGAGGAGAAAGGAGCAAGTGGGAGAAACATTACCTGCAACTGTTGATTCTGAAGCACAAAAGCCCTCCTAAAAAAATATTTAAGAAAATAAATGTTTCCTGCAGAGAACTGAATACTGGCTGGCAATGAGTACCCAACTGTGTCAGGCTGGGACAGAACAAAGAGTTCTGACCCCAGCACCCTGCTCTGCCACTGCCTGTTCCACGTGTTTGCTTTAGAAATACCATTTCACTGAGTGCACTAAGCGGGCTCAAAGTCCACCCGGCCCAACTGTTTGTCCAAGAGGGATATGCCCCGTGCCAGAGGCAGGCACAGCTCTGCACAAGAGCTTATGCAATGCTCTTGCAAATGAAACCGGCCACTTTTAGCCTATAAATTCATCTGTATCAAATCTGAGGTGTCAGCACCGAGGAGCAAGTCCGTAAATCCCACATCTTTATGTCAGTGAATTAACGTGTCCTCTGACACCTGGCAACAGCGGAGTGCAAACCAATCTGCTCTCCTCCCATCATAAAATAGGGAATGGGAACCTATTTGAGCTCAATTTACACATTGCAAAGCCATGGGGTCCCAAGGGAAGTTTAAGAACTCCTATCATAAACCAAACTTTATAAAAGAAACGGTGTGTATTTATGAAAAATGCTGACTTCATGATCACAACGCCGTTTTTATCCCCTGAGACCCTCCCGAAAGGGCAGCCACAATCACACGCAGATAAAGATGAAGTAAAAGCCTATTTATTCAACAACCAGTTAACCCAACTATGAAATCTGGAGAGATTAAACGACCAAAGAACGTTCTGTACTTCAGATTCAGCTGGACTGCACAGTTACAACACTCAGTAAATGACTGTGAAGTGGAAGTCAGAGAGGAAGCACACACAGAGGATGATGGACACGTCCCACACGGGTCAGGCAGGTACTGCAGTGAAAAAATTCCACGCCAGATCTTACTGGCCACCTGGCTACCTCACATGGCATTGTCTACCTAAGGGATTAAAGGCTGGAGTGGAGTGAGCCTGGCAGGATTAGACCCAGCTCACTGGTGGCTGCATGGGTGGCACAAGCCCGAGCACAAAGGAGCAGAGTCAGGGAAGCTTTGGTTCTCCAAACACGGGAGTAAAAACCAGCTTCCAGCAAAGAAGTCAAATGAACTTTAATCAAACATGCAGAGTGCGTGCCGCTGAAAGCCACGGCACATAAATTCGGGAACAAAAGCTGCTGCAGAAATCAATAGCCTCCTGAAACATTAACACAGGCCAGCATTGATCAAAGGCCCCGTGACAAAAGGCTGCCTTGCAAATTAGCTGCTGGTTTTGCTTGCAAGCAAACAGAAAAGCATGAACGCTCTGACATGAATGGCCCTGTAATGATCATTTTGTTCCTGGTGATCTCACCTCACCTCACCACGAGGTCTCGCAGTCAACACATCCCACATCTCTGAGCTGTAATTGCCAGCAGAGACACTCTGGCTTTGCTGGCTGGGGGAGGGCTGGGGGCAGCTGCTCTCGCTCGGATTTTCTGGGTAGCAGGAAAATCCCGGGGAACAGCCCTAACCCAGGAGCCTCAAACACACAAAGTGTCTCATCTGAAGCGTTTTGTGCCAGGGACTGGGTATGGCTGAAATGTTAAAGCAGACTGAGCCCTCCTTCACTGCACCACTGCATTCAACTCAGGAGTGACCCCCTCAAGGAGATAAATTAAGGGTGAGACCACTGAGGCCGATGATGGAAGAGAAACCTGCGCTGCTGACACAATAACTGTCCTCTTGCATCTTTACTTGCCAATAAATCTGGTATGTTGGAAGGAAAATCCCAATGAAATGACCCACACGTCTACTCCAACACCACCCCTCAAACAAGCAGCTCCAATTCCTGTCCTGTGCCACATCCAAGAGAGATGCTGTTACTGCCCTCCCAGATCAATTCAACTCCATCACGGACCAGCTTTTTCTTCTCCATCTGTCTGGGGAGAAGATTCACCTCTTTTCCTGTTCACAGTAACAGCCTCACCTCCACTTGCTGCACCACCACCTCTGGTTTTCTGCCAACACAACTCTGTTTTTCCGTGTGAACATCTGATTAACTGTCCCCAGCAATTCAGGAAACACATAAAACAAAATGAGAGGCGTCATCCAGGCTTTTAATGCCACATTTCCTCGAGAACACCTACGTTCCCACCACTGAACTTTCACAAGGCAGAGGCAAAACCACGGCTCAGCTTCGACCTGTTCTGAAATACATCCAGAGCTCACGACAAAGATCTCCTGCCAAGGCCATTCCACCCCATGTTGTCGGTGCATATAGAAGAGTCACACTTTATTCTCATTTTAGCTCTGTTCTGGAAGAGGAAGATGTGGTTCAGATCCCTCTTGCAGGTGGACACGGCGGTGAGACTTTCCCTGCAATTCAGAGCTGATACAAGACTGTGAGCATTCCATAGCCTTCATCCCCCCTAACCCAGCACTCCTGCATGAGGAGGGGATGGATTCCTTGGCATGTGGCACCTTTCTCTGACCTCTCCCACTGTTTTGACCCAAATGTTTCTGCAGCTCAACCAAGCTCCCCAAAAACCACATCCCACACCAACTCCATACCTTTACACTCACACGGGGCGCCAGCAAACCTGCAAGTCCTGGCTTCCCACTTCTTATCAGCAGTTTTCAAATGTAAAACACACAACCCTCGAGCTGTGCCCCCGTGTTTGTGTTTAGTCTTGCCTTGGGTAAACAAAGGATTAAGGCTGTGTGTGCATTTCTGGACTGGAGAGGTTCTGACAGCCCTGCAGCAGCGCTGCTCCTATGGAAGCCAATCCCACACATCAACTTACCTTCAAGTATCTGTTATGGTATAACAGAGTGAGCAAACATAATAATTGCTGTTTAATTTCCCCAGAGCCGAGCTCTGCCAGGGGAAAAAAAAAAATAAAAAATAAAAAATCATGGGGGTGGGGAATAGCTTTACAGTAATTAAACAGAAAAGGTAAATGACAGCGCTCCTCAATGGCTATAAACCAGCCATGGCAGAGCAGAGGGGAGCAGATTGTCCAGCTGTGGCCTTAATGAATTCACAATCTTTCTGGAATGCATCAAGAGTTTATTAAGTCAACTCAATTTAGCTAATGCTCCCGTAAAGTCCCGCAGTAAAAACAGTCTGCAGCGCTCCCCTCCTTCACTGCATCCCTGGCTTGCTCTCAACATCTGCTCCAGTGCCTGTTTGCCACGGTGGGGGGGATCAAGAACATGCAGTTTTGGACAATGGGAAGTGTATGGAATCCAGTGTATCCATCTGGCACCTCCAGGTTGCTTCCCAAAACTTTACACAGTAACCCTGAATAGTGCCACGCACTGCTGGACTGGGGGACAGAGCTGAAGGTGCCTGACCCTTCCATCTCACACATCTCACACCCCAGAGCTGCCAAGAGAAGAGGTTGCTCAGGGCAGTGGTGGCATCACCCTCCCTGCAGGTGTTCCAAGAACACGTGGATGGGGCACTTGGGGACACGGTTTAATGGCAAACACCATGCTGGGTTAAGGGTTGGACCTCAGAGGGCTTTTCCAACCTTAAGGATTCTATGGTAATGGAGCCCTTCCTTAAAAGCCCAGAA